GCTTTAGTTCCTTGATACTTTTGGAAAACTCCTGTAGATGGTCCCCTAAAACCATTAGCCCTAGGCTAGAGATTGGCTAACACCACTACATAGAGGACCCAAAATGGGTGTTTATTAATCGTGGTTGGTACTCTAACTCTACTAAAATACTCAACCTACCCTATTGCCCCCAAATTCCCCAAATTACCCAGATACTGATGGGACCTCAAATTTGGCCAAATTTTCCAAATTTAGCCAAAATACCCAAACTTCTTCAAAAATCATTTCAAGTACCTTGAAAACACCAAAATTACCCAAAATCCCCAAATTGGCCAAATTACCAAAATACCCGTCTTGGGCTCAAAATTCCAAAAAATCCAAAAAATCTCAAAAATTCCCAAAACCTCCCAAATATTCCCAATTTTATTTTCCTCAACTATCACATGACCCAATTTGGCAAATTTGACCATCCTTGATCAAAACCCACCCCAAAATTGTCCTTTAAAGACTCAAATTTCCCCAAAGTCAACTCAAATGTTCATCACTTTGATCTCATTTTACCCCAATTTCAATCCTATGCTCAAATTCAATTTTGATATGGCCAAAATAGACCAAATCCAAGCTTAATTGGCCCATAATTTGAGCTCAATTTTGGTATAGGTCAAACCCCCAACTTTGGTCACATGACCTAATCTCACCAAATTGAACCCATAGCCTAGTCAATTGGCCCCAATTAATGTTGCAAGATCTTTATAATGTTCCTACACATCAAAATTAACCATAAATTGGCCTTGGTGAAGCCTCAAATCCATTTGATTTTGGTCTAAATCCAAAATTCCCAAATTTAGCTAAATCCAAAATTCTCAAATTTAGCCCCAAATTGGCTAAGTCCCAAAATTTCACCCAATTGATTGCCTTAACCCCTCAATTTAGCATCAAATTTATGTTAAAAACTCTTCATGGAGTCCCTATTGACCATTTACAACAATCAATTTGGAATTATCCCAAGGCTAGCTCAAGCTAGACCCAAGCCTAGCCCAACATAACCAAATTGATTAAGATTCAAAATTCCCTCAAATTTACCCTTCAATTGAGCTCAAAACAAATCCATCTTTCACCAAAGTTGTTCTTTCCATCCTTCACCAAAGCATCCTTCACCAAAGCTGTTCATTATGATCATACACACCAAATGCAACATTTATTTGGGCCAATTGACATGGAACCAAACCCAAGACTTGGTCATTTACACCCACTTGGTCCCATGCACTAAATGTGACCTAACCACCCTAAATCAACAAAATTAACTCCACCTCAGCCATTACTTGACCCCAAAGACTGAGCCAAAACCCATCTAACCACGTAAACTAAGCCATGGACCAAAGGACCCCCAAATTAATGGATCTTATTGCCAAAAATACACATGCTTAAGATATCCTTGCCAAATCAAAACACATTTGCATTAAATTGTTATGATAGAATCCTTTGGATGTCCTGAGCACCTATCCACCTCCCTCTGGCCGGCAAGCCAGCCTATTAGCCAGAAATGGCCAATCCGAGAGCCACTCCCATGGAGCTTCACCCAAATCAAACCTACAAACCTAAAACCTAGAGGCCAGCTCAGCCAAATTGAATTATAGAGCTCCTCTGCCCTCCACCTAAGCACCAAATTACACCCCCCTAATTGGTCATGACAGCTACCATAACCCCCATTTTTATAAAAGGCCACCTCCATGTCCGTCGAATGAAGTGTTGAAAATTTCTTTGAGAGACCTCTCCAAACTAACCATAGAGCTTTCCTAAGATCCCCTCAGTGCATTCTAACTATTTTCCCTCACCAATTTCCACTATCGGAGTTCAATTTTGAGCTTAAACCTCTGCCCAAAACCAGGACAGAACTCATTACACCTCCACACTCCACCAAACACAAATTAACTCTACCCACACCTTCACAATAGTGAAAGAAGCAAATGCTTCATCAAATTACCCTCTCACAAAGCCTCTACCATAGCTCTAGACCAACACTCAAATTCGGTCGTGATCCAAATCATATATAGGCCTCACACCACAGCAAGTGGCTCAATCCCTAGCCTTCTTGGACCCCAACGAACGTGCCACGACCCTCTGATTGAAGCTTCACTTCTCAGAGCAAAGGTATAAAACTTATCTCCCTCCCGAGCCTATTTTGATTCTCCATTTGATTAGGCTTAAATTAATTGCATGATTACCATATGGATGTGTTCGCCTCACTTAGACAAGTTCATAAGATCAAACCTGAAGCTACTTGGTTGAGTCTAGGCTGAGATCTTAGGGTTTTAGTGTGGACGGTCACGGGATCACTCTATCGGGGACAATGACGGGGAGTCATTTGATTAAGCGTGTATCGAATGAATGGCCAAAATGATACCGAACAGTGCTTCTTTACACAAACAGCAGGATGCTTGGCTGCTGGTATGGACGACGACGTCAAATGGGAGCGTGTTGTGTGGAGCTTCGGAGCCGCCGTAGGTTGATGGGGCGTCACGTGGATAAGTAGAAAAAAAGGGCTTTTTCACTTTATTTAAACTCCCTTAACTTTAAAAATCTATAACTTTGTGTAGAAAAATCACAAAATAAAATAAAAATACCCTCTTGCCCAGTGAAAAATACCCTCTTGCCCAGAGAATAGAGGAGAATAAAGTGGAAATAATTTTAAGTCCATGTTATGCATATTTTATTTTTAATTAATTAAATACTTATTTGAATCTTTTGATTTTCAATGCATGTAGACTTATCATCATAGCTTGAATTTTTGGCATATTGTAGTCTCTGTCAAGAAGAACATTCTCTGATTTTTCCAAAGTCAGAGGAGGTCCGTAGACAGATTTTTCCAAAGTCAGAGGAGGTCCGTAGACAGAGGATCACATTTTTCAAGTTTATCTGCATTATTTTCATAAAATAATTATGGAAATTAGCATGTTGGTTAGAAAATTCCAAGAAAATTGTTGAAGGTCCACCATGACTAGAGGAGCTTTTGGAAATAATTTCATGGGTCAAGTCATTTAAAGTGCACCTAATTTTCACAAACACTAAATCACTAAGATAATTAATTTTGGAAAACATAAATATCAAAATGACTTGATTTTTGATCTCTACTTTTATTTATGATCCAGATAACTCACCATAAAAATTTTCAAATATTTTCAGCTCATTTGATAACTTAAGTTGATTTTTAAAGATAAACATCACTTTTGGCATTTAAATGATTTTTAAAAATCAAAATATAACTAAAAAATTTATAAAAACTTATTTTTTGAGTTCTCTGTGATCAGGGGTACATTCTAAAAATAAAATTATATTTAAAATAAAAACTTCATTTTATTAAAAATCCATTAAAATCACAAAAATAATAAAACTAATGGAAATATTCTAAATTGTTTTCTAATCACTTAGGGACAATTATAATACTTTTTCTGGTTTTCTAAACAAAGATATTGAATTTTAAAGCTTAAAAAATGATTTTAAAGGCTAATAATGGGTTTTCATTAAGAATAATTCCAATAAATCAAATAAAATTTAGAAAAATATAAAATCTTCTCCTCTAAGTTCTCTAACCTCAGGGAGACTTTTGAAAAATACAAAACTTAATTTTCCCCATTTGAAAGTTTTTATATTTAATAAATACCAAATAAATTAAAATAATTCTTAAAATTTAGATAAAATTCAAAAAATCATGAAATTTGGTCCAAAGCTTTCTCTAGTCTATTTCTACCTCTCGTAAAAATTTCAAAGGATTAGGAGTTACCTTGGTTAAGTAAGGAATTTTCTTTGAAAAATCCTATTTTTGCATGAAAATAATTATATAAATAAATTCAATTTTAAAAAATCACATTTTCTCCTTTGATGTCTTAATTGACCCATGCATGAGGTAGGATAATAATTTCAAAGTCATTTGAATTGAATTTGATAAATTATGAAGTGTTAGAGTCTTAGGGGCAAATGTGTAATTTTGGAAACTTAGCCTTAATTAACATTTAGGCTTAATTCAAGAACGAAAATGGGTAACCTCTGATCTTAATCAATTTATTTAATGTTCAAAACATAAGAGGTTAATTGTTAAAAACCAACCTCACCTTCTTAATTGAAAAGATAAGTTAATAAACTTCTAAATTATTAAAATTTAGGAAGTTTATTAAAATAAAATGAACCAAGAACTTAGGGGTATGACTCTTAAAGTCAATAATTAATCAATTTAATACCCCCTATTTTGATTTTTAAATAAAATTCAAATCATGAATCATGACCACCTAAAGCTTAATCTTTTCAAAACTAATTAAGACACTCACCTAGGTCTTAAAGGCTTAGTAGTGACTTAGGCTAAATCAGGTTAGGACCAATATGTGGAACTTTAAGTTGAGTAAAAGAGAGTTTGAAATTTCTAATGGTGATAGCTCATTGTCAAGTTTTCTAAGAATAGTCAATAGGAAAGTCCTATGGCTAGGCCTTAGGCTACTAAGGAGGATAAATTGAATCTCAAGCAAAAGTAGGGTCAACAAGTCACTAACTTAAAGGATAAGGAAGAACACACAAGAAAATAAAATTTAAAATTAAAACTAAGCCTATAGATAAGTTATAAATTAGTGGACCCCGCACGAAATATGATGTCTCTGTGCCTGGTACATTTATTACCATACGATATGCGATGTGTCAATGTGCTTGGAAAACTTATTAACTGAGCGATCATTAAATTTTTTTAGAAAGTCACCAACTTGAACAACTTGAAGGAAAAAAAAAAATCTAAAAAAAAAAAAAAAAAAAAATTAAAATTAAAGAAAAGTAAATCAGCACTAGTTATGTGCTTATTTATCACATGAAAACTAAAGAAAAGTACTCTACTATAAAAGCCCAGTTCCTCCCCCACCCACTCACATTCGTTTCCAAGGCTTTAGCTCTCCTTAACCACCTCTGTGCCTAATTTTTGGCTCTCAAACCTTGGAACCCTCATCCTAATATTTCGTTTCTCTCTATTTCTTCTAAATTTAAAGATGCTATCACAACACAACTTAGCTATTTCAGTCGGCATTCTAGGTATGTTCTTCTTCTTCCTCTCTCTCTCTCTCTCTCCTCCCAAATCCTCACTCAGCTTTTCATTTTTCCTATTTTTATTTTCTATCGTAAATAATTGGTCCTCAAACTAAAAGTTGATGTGTGAACTGCATGCTATTGAGACGCTGACGTCCAACTATTTTCATCTAAAACATAGGTTGCCAAAAATAAAAACTGATTATAAGATAACTTAAAAATCACTATAATGATTTACATTATTTTTGCCACCTGAAATCAATACTTTACCTTAATTTTTTTAATAATTTTGTGAAGCCCAAACACATATTAGAAGAAGCCAATTCAATTATTTCTTAAATGTTCTAAATTTATACTACTATTTATATATAATTTTAAGCTACCCATGTAAAAGGTAAAAATTGTTCTCGATTCCAGGATAAGTAAATTTCTAGCTTTCTTTTTTTATTTGTTTCATCACCTTACGCATATATGTACCATTCATCTTGCCAAAACTAAAATTTCTTTTCTGGACTAATTTAGAGTTGGGAAGCAAAGCAATTTCTTCCTTCTTTCGAATATTTCTTGTTGCAGAACTTGATGCCTCTGTCTTCATCCTTAGCCACAAATATACAACATAATAGCATAATATAAATCACTAATTATGTAATCCAATACATAATAACTATCTAATCTGCCTTCACTTTTGAATCTTTTCAGGCAACTGTATTTCCTTCATGGTCTTCTTGGCCCCAGTGTAAGCATCTTCACTACTTCATATCATATATATATATATGTATGTATATATATATAGATACACATATTTATAATGTTGTTAACAAAATTAATTTATGTGCAGGCCAACATTTTATCGAGTATATAAAAATAAAAGTACTGAAGAATTTCATTCGTTGCCGTATGTAATAGCGCTCTTCAGCTGCATGTTATGGATTTATTATGCTCTGGTGAAGACAAATTGTGTCCTCCTAATCACCATTAACTCATTTGGTTTGCTAATCGAAACCATATACATATCTATCTACCTTGCTTATGCCCCTATGGAAGCTAAGGTATCGATTTACATGTCATTAATTGATTAATTAATACTAATTAACATTCTTAATTAAAAAATTCAATTAAATATAGAAATTCACTGCTCGGATTCTTGTGCTTCTCAACTTTACTACTTTTGGGATGATTCTACTTTCGACTCTCCTCTTCGTTCATGGGCATAAGCGTCTGATGGTTCTTGGCTTTATCTGTGACTTCTTCTCTGTTAGTGTTTTTGTTGCTCCACTAAGCATTATCGTAAGTAAATATTTTTTTCTTAATTTTAATAATTATATATATATATATATATATATATTATTGTTATATATTATTAATGTTGCTTGCTTTTATTAATGCAGAGGATGGTCATCCGCACGAAAAGCGTGGAGTTGATGCCTGTCAATTTGTCCTTTTTCTTAACAATCAGCGCTGCGGTTTGGTTAGGCTATGGCACACTGACGAAGGATATATATGTTGCGGTATTAAAATTCAGAATTTTTATTTAGTGCTGTTTAATAAATATATTGTATTAGTAATAGTAACATTTAAATAATAATTTTAATTGAACAGCACTAATTTAGTAATTAATTGAATAATGCAGTTATTATATGATACTTAAATGCTAGTACTAGTCTTAAAATAAATATAACAATTTGAGGCTATACTTCCTAAATGTTATATGAAACTATCTAAGCAAAATTGACGTCGATCCGAAAGCCATTTTGATGTTGTAAGAGAATCCTATAATAAGATAATCAGATTTAATTTCATATTTTTTTTTCTTACAAGTGTTTATAAATTAATGAGCTTGCAATTTCTTAAAAATATATCGACAACTTGTATTGAGTAAAAACCATCTTTTCAAATGTTGAGCAAAACTAATCTTATTTTGATAAAGAGTTATTTTTTATATCATATTCATTAATTAGAATATGGACTAAAGGGCCGATATATCTATAAAATATGTAAATATTCTGTATATAAACTTGAAAAAAGATAGTCTTTATAGCATCTATAATTTGCTGGCCAATTAAAATAGTTAGCCAAGTACTTGAGATAGCTTTTTTTGTAAACTTTATTAATTTTCTTAAATATTGAGATAGCTAAATAACAATTATTAACTTTTTGTTATTTGCAGTTGCCAAACGTTCTTGGACTATTATTTGGTATTATACAGATGGTGCTCTACTGCATCTACAAAGATGACAGATCCAACCCCGTTGATCCTACACATAACGAAATGGTCGTGCCCGAGATAGCGCTCGAAGTCTCTGATGACGCCTCGGCCGGTCATTGTTGCACAAGAGTTGTTATACAAAGAGAGATATAGTATAATTAGAATTAAAATACCTGTATAAGAAGATTTTTTAGGTGTACATCAACAATAGTTTGTATTTGGGTATTGTAATATTGTGTTGTTATGCAAGTATTTTCAAAACTTGCAGATTTTGTTTTCACTGGGCAATAGAAATCTATTCAGAAAATGATTATAAGAGATTTTATAAGACATTTCTGATCAAAATTTAAATTTTTATTATAGTTTGCACTTATTTTATCAATGATATATTTATTGTATTTCTTGATGCTTATTAGTACAAAGAAGGGTGTTATTTATATAAGTATTCTAAGATTTAGGACAGGAAAACATGTAAATTGACAGTAGAAATTAAGCGTAAACATCAGCATGTGGAATCGACGTTAATTACATTATATCAGGACAATTAACGTCATTGATTTATTTCCAATTTAACATCCAGACTTACAATGCAATTGATTTTTTTCAATTTAACATATCTTTTAAGAAGAAAGTACAAATTTTATTATGACATGAATGATGATTAAGAATTAGACTTATGATGTGATATGGAGTCGGTGAGAAGGAATTATTTATGATTCCAAATGAGGAATTTCTTATAAGATATCTGTCATGGCCTAGTAGGTATATTTTGAATTGCAGTGAGAAGTTACTTCATGAAACAAGTTTGGAATATTAATTTAAATATACACATGCAAACAAATTTATCAGCAGGTTCGTTTTGGCAGCAAACAGAAAAGACTAAGTATTGTTTAGTAATTAATGCATGAACTATTAAACTCAATCATTGTTTTGTACCAGGCATGGAAGGTTTTATAGATACGTAGCAGGAAAGTCAGATATGAAGAAAAGGATATAAGAAATTAAGAAATTAAGAAATTAACTATGTTAGTAATTATTTTCTGACTTAGTTGACTTGGCAGCTCTAATTCTACTATAATCTGGGCTGCTTATGTGGTCAATATTGCAGCAAAATTTGATCGTTGCGCGTCTAGTCGTGTGATTACCGGGGCCCTGCTGCTAGAATTCTTTGAAATTGGACAATAAACCCGTTATGAGCTTGGCGCAAAGGCGCTAACCATTGGGCTTCAATATACTATTGTGAGCACATAGGCGTTGTAATAGTGGGCGCCTAGGCGTCAGATGGATAGTTCCAAACTGAGAGCTTGGCTCATCGGCATCTGCCGCTAGGCCCCTATGCGTCCAAAATAGAAATTTATAGTTGGTGCAGTTTAGACTTCGAGATCATAGGAAGAAAATATAAAAATGGTGGAGACAAAGTTTGAAGGGGTTTTTTGTTATGTTTACTTCTATCTTTATGGTGTAGAACAATCAACTTAGGTAAACACCGCATGAAGAACTAAACTTTCATTAAGCAAGTTTTTATGAAATGTGTGATACCATTCACTAGATAAAGCTAAATTTTTTAGTTTCGGGATCAATTAGAATATAGAGCGACTTGGCCCAAAAATTCTTAGCAAAATACTTTCCACCTTCGAAAACGGCCAAACTTTTGAATGATATAACTTTTTTTCTTTCCACCATGAAGGTAAATCTATTTATGAAGTTTGAGAAAGATTTAAGGAACTTTCTAAGAAGTGCCCCCACCATGTGTTGCCTAACTAGTTGATAATTGAGTTTTTTTTTTGTTATAATGAGTTAGTAGAATATGTACTTTTCTTAGTTGATGTTGGTAGATGGAGAATATTTTACTCATTCTTTAAAAATACTTATGAGAAATTTTTTATTCTTATGATATATGATTTTATATTATCTTTTTGAAAATATTTTATTATATGTTTTTTATGTTACAACTTTCTCGTGATAAAAATAAAAAATAAAAAAAAAGTTTTTATGAAGTGACCGTCTAAAAAAGCTTTTTTTTTTTCTAAATTAAAAATATTTATTCTCTATAATAAAAAATTGGGTAGGAAAATGACATCTAAAAAAAAAGCTTTTTTTTTTCCTTACTTCGTGTGCCTTAGAGAGCCCAGTATGAAGTGACCGGAAAAGAGATATAAACTTGCGAGATATTTGTTCTTTACTTGTAAAAAAAAAATTGTTAGCAGATTCAAGCTTAAGGCAAGATAATTTAGAAGAAGAATATTAAAAAAATTTTATGCTTGTTATTTAAAAAATATATAAATTAACTCATGTATTGAGGCACCAGTATCGCCGACATAGATTTCAAAGTAATCAAATGGTTAAAAATGATGGCTCAATGCTGAGTATTAAATCCAAGAGGTCTGATCTAGAGCAGCCATCTGAAAGATTAACAAACAGCTCAAGTCCCCCATCGACGAATCCAATCGACGGGTCTATCTACTGTACCAATCGCCGAAACTCCCAAAAAGCCAGTTGAATGCAACAATCAGACCGACCACTCATACCTCGATAGAAATGACCTCCACGTGGCCAGTCGCTTTGGTCGATCGAACCAAAACTTTTCTACCAGCTATTTACTGTCATACCCTAATTCAAATCGTAATACAAATTTAGTATTACATTAGCAGCTACATTAGGATTTTGGATAGATAAGTGAATCTCATCTGTTGTAGGATTTGCATAATCTCTTAGGGTTCTAGGTTGGTGTTCATTCTCTATTCCTTGATTGTTCAGGTTGTTTTCCATTGTATCAGAATTTCTAGGTTCTCTTCTTAATTTTTTGATCCTTCTAACAGTGCGTTCTAATTCCAAATCGTAGGGTATAAGATTTTCAGGTCCAAATTGACGCATACAATTTGAAATAAGTACTGAGTAATATAATTAACTAAATATAAATATAAAAATAAGTTGCAATTTAAGTAAAAAATTTTCTAATAATCCTAATTTGTCCGTTACTCTGATCGTGGTTTTACTCACTCAATCACTCCCCGGCAACGGTGCAAAAAACTTGACAGCGTTTTATATATGCAATAAAATATAAGATAAATATGGACATATTAAATATTAAATAATTGTAAAGTCACACTTATCACTGCAAGTGTACGTATCGCTCAAGTAATATAGGACTCTAATGGAGTCCTAGATATCAATCCCATAAGAAGTAGTTTAGAATTACGTGCTAAGACTTTAGAAATAAATACTTTAATCACAACAACGACGTTCAATTTGCTTATCTGTCATTAATAGGCAACTGAAATAAATAGATAATTTTAATAACTAATAAGTAATTAGGGATATTAAGTAGGGTTTAATTATTAAGTAGGGTTTAATTTAGGGTTTAATTTTGATATTCAATATATATGAAAACATCCTTCTCCTTGTAAAGAAATTATGTTGAATGGATAAAATGAATTAGTTCAATTTATATTGTGTCAAATAGAAGCATACATATTCTTTACCCTTTGGTCTAGGCATAAAGAACACTGACTAATCCTATGCTTGTTTACTGAATCTGCGGCTAGGCTGAGAGGATACCGGCTCTCACTTTGGAGATCTCATGTTCCCCACACCTGAGGGCTAACATCTACACTTTAGCACCCAAACAATAGGACCAAATTAAGGATTTTAGTCTGTCACTCTAAAATCTCCAATTCTACGCCTGATAATATTATTTCCCTATTTATTTGCACCCAACTTCCAAGGGCTTTGACCTCCTTGAATCATGGATGTAATCTTAACTTTAGTTGTAAAACTCAACATATTTTAACAAGTCCATTGGCCAGATTGAAAGTAAATTAAGATCGAAGTGAAAAGATCATCATAATTTCTTAAATATTTTCATGGCTTCACCAATTCAAATCACTATTTCACAAATCTCGAGACAAGGAGAAAGATAGAGAAAACTACTCAGAACGCATGGGGAAAACACAACAAAACTCGGAATTCATATATAAAATCAAAGTCATATAAACTACAACAAGTAAATAACTTATCTCTAATTTCTCCCCAAGATCACTCCTCGAAGTTCCTCTGAATCTCTTCCTTTCTTTGCATCACACAGAATTCCACTTTGAAGTATCAAGGAGGAAGAAATCTCTCACTTTCCCTCGACCCTTACAATCTCTCGAAGAATTCCTCACTATTGTTACACTCTATTGGAAATTCTATACACTAATGGTAACCTCCAAGGCCTCTAGACTCTCCTGGCTACCTTCAACTCTCTTTTTTTTGACCAAAATCTTCCCTTTAATGATGTGGGTGAGTTTTCCCAAGAGTTGCTTAAGCACCCCTCAAAAATGCGGCCTTATCCATTGTACAAGTACACATAACCGTCGATTCCGCCGTCGCGGCCTCGATGGCGCCATCGGTGGCCTTTTGGAGAATTTGTTCTGTAGCCTTAGGAAAAGCTCGTCATTGGCAGCATCGATGGCACCGTCAGCACCCTAGTTCAAATCTCCACATTTTGGTCCTTTTCGCTCCAAATTCGCTTCTTTTTGCATCTTTTTGCTCCATTGACCCTAATTCATCATTCATGCAACAAAATATCAAAAAGTACCTTTCTTTAAAGTGCAATATCATAAAAAATAGTATAAAATAGGTATGAAAATCTCAACTTATTTTCCTTTGGTTAGACCCCATGGTTTTTTCATTTTTTCAGGTTTTTCACGTAAAAATTTTTAGTGTCATTATCAGTTGTTTTCTTTCTTCTGAGTGTTTGTTGAATTCTCATACAACGCTAAGATGATAATACATTGCTCTGCCGCAGTGAATCTTCTACAACGCATCAGTTTGGCGTTGTTTGTAGGAAGCAAAGTCTTATTCAACAGGGTCTTCAACTCTAAGACATCGTGCCCCTACTTCATTTTCTAATGATGTACATCAACTGGTGAAGGAACCTTCTTTACATCTTGAAATCAGGGGGGGGGGGGGGGGGCATCACTGTAGTCTTGAAAGGTCGCTCACGTTAAGGACTAGGGCGTGATTGTAGATTTGTTGTTTTCTTGATTCTTATTCAGACACAAAATATTTTACAACTTCTTCCAAGCTTGGGGTAACCTTTATTATAATCTCGAATGGTCATTCACATTAATGTCGTGAGCAAAACTGCCATTGGGTAGTCATCCCACATT